TTGGGATCTGTTGTATCTGAAAACAACATTTTTGGGATCCGTTGTATTAACAGTCAATTGATGGACAGTTGTGTCGGAGAACAAAGTGATGACATCTGATCCCAAATCAGAGAATTTGTCCACAAATGCCGAATCAATTGTAATGTTTGGATAACAAAACGGATTCTGTATTTAAATAATCAATAAAACGTCAATTGATTTAAATTTGAATACAAAATCACTGACCAATGCATTCAATACAACCAACAGTTGTATTAAACAAGCAATTAATCTCAAAATGAAGTGCATTTAAAATTTGTATTCAAATGAATGCAGAAATACTATCAATAAATCTTTCAGTTATGAAACGAAATGAAAAATAATAATTTGTGTTTAGATTTCAAATAAAATTTAATGAATTTTAAACAATACTTAAATATAAGATTCGCTCTCATTTAGTGTTAATAATGCATTTAAATGTAATATTTGACTGCAATATTAGATTATTATATATTGATTGTTATATATTAAACCAAATTCTTTGAATCAAAATATTTACGAATTTTTAAACAATTTATTGCATATAAAAACGATTTAAAAATATGAAAACTATTTGGTGACAATTTGTTGTCTGTTATAATTTCCAGAATAATAGTTAACAATTAATTGATGTCTTAATAAATTAATAGCTGCTATCAATGGGAGTCCACATATTATAGCTGTTTTCCGACCACTCGTACAATAAAATCACAGATAATATAATTTTATTATTTAATTCAAAACGGTTATAAATCTTTCATCTGATCCGAGAGTCCATTACTTAACCATTTTATACCGTATTTTTGGTCGTAAGACTCACTGAACTCTTTCTGGACATCGATTTGTCTGTTTCTGGAAAGACTGATGTCTTGAGACTCTCTTAAAACTCACGCCATTTATTATTGTAATTGTTTAAGACATTAAAACTTTATTAATTAACAATAAAACAATTACAATTTTATTGCAATAGTATATTAAAATGAAATCAAATAAATAATATATAAATTCAATAATAAGTAATAACAAAATCATATAAAAAATGGATAAAAAGTATAAATAAAATAAAATTTTAAAAACTAATGTCTATATAATAATTGATAATTATTTCGCATTCAATTTAGTCTTCATTTGTTTGGGACTTTGTTTGGCCGCAGATTTGTTAACCGCCGCCAAAGTAGTGCTTCTAGTCTTGAGATGTGTCGGTCTGTTCTCACCCATTGAAGACATCGACACCTCTGATATCTTTGATGTCTTTGACTTAACAATTGATTCGGTGGTCGAAGAGTCGCTAATATTGGGATCTGTTTTATATCTGCGGTAAACTCGTGGTAAATGTTGGCCCCGTTTTACGTATACAATCATCGCTATAACAGCTATTATAATGATCACAAAAATTATCACAACTATCGCTACAATTATGTGTTTATTGTCATCGCCTTTAATCGGATCTATTGTCGTAATTGTTGTCATGTCTTCGCAACCAATCCATTGAGCGATGATTTGTGTCAAACAGTTGTCGTCAAACTGAAGAGTCCTGTTATGCAGACGACAGACACGATTGCCGGCAAACAAATAGAAATAGTCATTGAATGCAAAGCCGGCCGTCGTTTGTGACAAATAATTATAGATCTCATTGATTGTCAGTTTATTATTATTGCTTTTATTGAGCAAATCATTCAAATCCAACCAATCCAACCACTCTGAACTGCCGTTTATTATATAATTAGACCTAATATACAACACCCCGGTCACGTTAACCAATACTGTTGTGAGCCAATAATGTGGTTGGTTAACCAGTTTTTGTAAAATAACAATCATTTGTTTTTCCCAATTCAGATTTTTATCACTGGATAAAAGAGTCTTATTAACTGATCCCAAATACCATTTTTTGGCATTTGTTTCTGTTTTGATTACATGTTTAAGTGATTAAACATTTAATTTAATACAGACTTACGTTTAGTAATGCAATGACAGATCCGTTGATAACTTCGTAATAGACAGCGTTTATGGGCGCAGATATGGGTCCATAGTTTGACCACACATTCAATGGTTGAGTTCTCTTGTATCTGAAGTTTGGATGAATTGAATCCGTTGTATTGACAGTCAATTGATAGACAGTGTTGTCCGCAAACAAAGTGATAACATCTGATCCCAAATCAGAGTAGTTGTCTACAAATGCTGAATCAATTGTGATGTTTGGATCACACAATGGATTCTGGGATTAAATATTTAATATAAACATAAATTGAGATAAAGTAATGTCTTAAATGACTGACCGTTGAGTTCACTGCAATCATAACTTGTATTAAAACCGCAATTAATCTTAATATAAAATGCATTTAAAGTTTGTATTCAAATGAATGCAGAAATACTATCAATAAATCGTTAAGTTGTGACACGAAATAAAAACTTTATAATTTGTGTTTAGAATTCAAATAAAAATTAATTAATTTTAAACAATATTTAAATGCAAGTATTTAATAGTGATTTATAATTATATTAACGTATATTTATGTATTCCAATACATTGTTTTACGGTATATTTAAATATACAATAATGTTAATTGTTACAAATAAAATTACTTATTAAACCACGGTTTTTATCAACTGTTTCTCATTCACAAACAACAAGAAAATAAAAGCAATTTATTATCAAAATGAGAGTAATTTTGATATAATTTGTATGACTAGCGAACAGTCCACTCGTTTGCTCCGGATTTTGTTTTAACTTCTTTGATTTTGTAATTACTCAGATAAAA